ACATACAGTTTTAATATGTTATAAAATAGCTAAAGCAGCCAGAATTAGCAGAAAAAGAACTAAACAGTAGCTGAAAAAGCTAAAATTAGCACAAAGACGCAAAAAGAGCATGTTTATTGAGCATTGAAAAGCTTAAACGAGCCATGAATTTGGATGAAAAAGGTTAAAATTACATGAAAATATCTACAAAGTAGCAAAAAAAAAAAATCCCAGCTGAAATTAGCATAAAGTGGCTAAAAGGTGCATAAAAACCTTAAATTAGCAGATAGACGCTGCTAAAAGCCCCCCAAAAGTTCAAAATAACAGAAGAACAGCTGAAAAGAGCAGAAAAATGGCTGGAAAAGCAGAAAAAAATAGCACAAAAAGGTAGTTGAAGGAAGCTGAAATTATCACAGGTTGAAAGAAAAGGTAAAAAGTACAGTAAAAATTTATAAGCATTTCAAAACTCCATTCATTTTCAATGAGGAAAAAAATGTCAGAAAAGGCTCTTTTACATTTTTTTTCATGGTTCTTTGCTTTAATTCATGTGACATCACAGAAATCAGAAATACAGTACAGTAAGGAACGTCAACTTTTTCTCTAAGTTAAATTATCAAGAAGAAAATAATTTACTAATTTTAACATAATTTTATAAAGTCAATCAGCTTTTTTTTTCATAAAAATAACTGAACAGTATGAAGGTCCAGGTTAAATAAAAGAAACTAAATGAAACTCTTACCACCTGTGATGTATATACATATTTGAATTAGTGAACTTGTCAATCAATGCTCCCCGTGGTCCGTCTAAATTCTGACTGAAGCAGCTGCATGGATAACACCAAACTGCACTAAACTGTTTTTACTAAGTACAGTGGCGAAATCTTGAGAAACTATTTTTATTTTTACTTTTCTTACTATTATTTTTCCTCTGAGACACCAGAATTTCTTGTAATCTTTTACAGTAATCTTGATGAATATTTTTTTCAATCCTTGTTAATTTTTCTTTTTTACCAGAAGACTTTGTAATAACAATAATAACAATAATTAGCAGAAAAAGTCAAGGAATTATTATTACATAAAAGTCTGATTTATTTTCTAATTTGATAGCGGCACTGAAAGATACTTTCTGTCAAACTGTACTTTGGCACTTTTAAAGATGTAATAAAGAAACCTTACTGATGTGACATTTGAAAAGGTTCTTGTGTTCTCTGTTTTTATTCGGTAGCTTACGGAATCAGAAACCTTTGTTAAAAGGTATGAAAACAAAAACAAACAAGACTGAAATTTACAAAACGCAAAACATCTAATATC